GCTCCAACTCATTTTGTGCGTAATGTGAAAGAGCACTTAAACACGATCAAAGGTGGATTGGATGTAGTGGTTCAGTTACATAGCCCCCTTGATCTCCTGATTTAAATCCTTTGAGTTTTTTTATCGGGATATTTGAAAAGCAGAGTATATTCATCAATAAATGACATTGGAGAATTACGTGATCGAATCCAGCGTGTTTGTCAAATAATTCGACAGAGATCAGGATTTTTCGAGAGAGCTTGTGACTCTGTATAAAGAAAATGGCAAACTTAAAATTATATGAAAATGAAAGGAGGATGTGAAACACCTTATGTAAATAGAGCCAGTAAATCATTCATGATGCTAACATACGAAAATTTTTATATCTATCTTATATCTATTTTTAATTATTATATTATATCTATTTTTATATCTCAAAAGTTATTCAGTTTCCAATGTCTATATAGTTTTCTATGTCTATTAGAGTTTTTTTACTTAATATGGAATGTATTATCTACTACATAAATGCTGAATAGTGCTCGATTTACGCCGAAGTTATAACATCGATGTTAGGAAACTGACCAATCACAGTTATTTCATTCTTCAGAGGAATAGCTATGGATAGATCAGTTTCATGCAATCGATGTTATAACTTCAATGTAAAGCTGCTTCAATGTCAAGCCGTATAAACGTAATAGTTATATTTAAGTTGTCTGCATTAATTATTATATCTTTGAATAAATTAAGCGTGTTTTTAACAACTACAGTGCATTAACTCAGATGCTGACGTATTTAAGGATCAAGCATTTTGTCGTGTTTATTCCTGCCTTTTCATAAAACCGGAGGATACATATTTTTGTAGAATATGCTGATTTCATTATAAAAAAAGGAGAAGAGATAAGACAGAAACAAAAAGGGGATGTGTGTGTGTGTGTGTGTGTGTGTGTGTGTGTGTGAGAGAGAGAGAGAGAGAGAGAGAAGGAATAAAATTTATTGCTCACTTACGGAGGCGACGGAAGAATTTCTTGAGACAGGGTTTCATTTGAGAAAGATTAGAACGGCTCGCCACTCGACAGCAAGATTATCTTCTCGCTAAATGACGTCCTTGTCGCAGACACGCGCGACCAGTTGTAATCGAAATTGTCGTCTCCCCTATCCCTCTCCCTTTATCAGAGCAGAAATATCACGAACAAAATGCATTTGCATTTATAATAAACGCTGCATAGCTTGTCCGGCAATTATTATACCGTTTCATTGTAATATGCTATTCCGCTCTATAGGATTATAATCTTGACGACAAATAAAAAAGAGAATTGAAATTCCTTATATTATAAAATTCTGTAAAGAAAAGTGTACTTTGAGGCGATCATTTTACGAATTTGTTACGTAAAAAAAAACGCAAATTTTATGATGGTGATTTTCTCTCTCTCTCTCTCTCTCTCTCTCTCTCTCTCTCTCTCTGCTTAGAAATATGTATATATTATACAATACTGTCAATTTATTTTTTTTACAAAATTCCAATGATTATAATTATACATATGTACTATGTGATATAATATTTTTAAGCAAATTTATCTGTATATGAAGAGAAATATCTCTATTATTAAAATATATAATTTTATTATCTTTGAATAGTCATTTACTTTATATGTTTTAATTTGTTTTATTTTTTATTTAATTTAATTTATTTAACGCGTATTGTTTCACATCTGGAGATTTTTTAACGTCACAAAATAAATGAATATCGCAAATTAAACGTTTTTAGCAATTAAATCAAGATTTTTATTTTGAGGAACTAACTATTACTAAATAATAAATAACATTTATTTGAGTGCCAACTAAACATTTACTTACAGTAAATAAATATTTAATTAAAAAATGATTGTTAAATCATATTGGATTTGTATTAAATAAATATATCTTTATAATTATATCTTTATAATTTAGTAAATATTTAGTAAATATTTAGTAAATATTTAGTTGGTGGTACAATTCAAACGAATAATTTACTTAAAATTTAGAATATTTTTCTTTTGATATGATCTTCTACTTTTATGATTTTTCTCTTGAAAATATTTAAATAGATAGTTGATTAAGCGGTTGGATTTGAATATAAGTAATTATAGGTGTGATAATATGCAGGAGAGTTAATCGTGTAAAGCTTTTTGTCAATGTGCGAGAAAGATAAAGAAAGAACTATCGCTGAAAAGAATGAGAACTGATACGAGTGAACGCTTACAAAAGAAAAGGACATATTAGTTATTAGAAAGATAGTTTGCATTGCATTCGAACAAACCGCAAAGGTTTAATGGTGTAGCAGCTGTTGCATTTCCGGTCTTTGAAGATCTTTAAATTTCTTGTGATATCGATCGGTGGTATTAAACGATTATAAAATATTAAATAATATAAATTTGATCAATCTGTTATGATGTAGAAATAAATAAGGGTCTGATTTGTTTGGTCTTTTTCTTCAATTTATTTTGAGATATCTTTATTTATACAAAATTTAAAAGAAAAACTGGATTTTTGGAAATATAAAAGATATATGTTCAAAATTTTGAACTTCTGTGATTTTATTGAAAAGTATATAAAGTATCACTAAATAATGACATTATATGTCTGATATCTTTATATTAAACTGTTTCAATGCATTTTTGCAATTTTTTATGATGAAATTTGTATTGGGAGAATTTAAAAGAAGGAAGAGATTCGAAAGAATTTTCTAATTCTAAAGATATTTTTAATTTTGCGTTTATGCGTAGTTTATGGGCAAGCATATTCTTAAACTAAAACAACTACACAAGTATTCTGAAATTTTTCGAGCTTTTCACAACTGTAGAAAGGAATTGAAAGTTTAAAGATCAACGAACTTTTTATCATATACATGTCGCAAGTTCTTTGAATACCAAATTATCAAGTACCAATAAATTTTTTGTCATCAGTGAAAAGATAGACTATACACAGATGTTAATTTTAGCGTGTACAATTTGTGTGTGTCTTTTATTTATATGTTACTTTTTCGTTATGTTATTTTATTTTACTATATAGACAATAATATTGGAAACTGAAAATAAAATAAGAATATATTATTTGTATACTTTTTCGTACTTATTATACTTTCTGTTCTACTAACATTTTTACATTTTAATACATCTTACAAAAAAAGAAATAAATGAAAGAGATTTGGCAATATTGTCATTACATTGTGATTAAATTTTGGGAAAAGAATTGAAGATAAGTGTCATGTTGAACTTCTCAATGCTGTAAACATCTAATTATTCTTGTCTTGAACTAATCTTCGGTGAACTTGTTACATATTTCATGAACTTGCTACAATGCTAGCAATTAAATAAATGAATATAAACAAAAAGCGAGAGTGAAAGATAACGATATGATCACGTTATCGATTTGCGGGACTGATGGCGAAATAAGTGCTGGAGAAAGTGTCGGGAGATGTTCAGTGTCAGACACACATATGCATGTACGCACACACGCATATAGGTATATATACAAGGGAGTCTCAAATACTGTGCAAATGAAGGAGAAAGAACAAAAAACATGGACAAGCTTCAGTTAAGAAAGAGAGGCAGATGGGGAAGATATCAGAGGGAGAGAAACCACGATCGGCGAAAAAAAAAACGGGGAGCGAGAATGAGAGATGAAAGCGGATGGTGGTTGGATAGAGAGAGGTCAAATGGGTTGTCGGGGTATTGGGAGCGGGACGCGGCAAAGAGAAGGGAGGACGACCGACGACGGCGAGAGGTGGAGGTTTCGAGTGGTTCAGTTGTAGCGGTACCGTGGCTGAGATCGGACGTTCGTGTTCATTTTTTCTAGCGATTTGCGCGTATCGTGGTTACAAGCGCATTACTTGTTCGTTCCGTTTGTTTCATTTCGTTTCGTCTCGTTTCATCTCGTTTTGTCTTGTTCCGTCCCGTCTCCGCGTTCTGCGTTTTGCCCTCCCTTGTTCACCAGCTTTTGCCGCTGTCGTTAGCGTCTGACCAGGCACTCGGTTCTTCTACTAGTCGCACAGTTGCGACGTTCCGTTTTTCCTACGAACCGTACGCAGAGTTTCGGACGCCTGCGATTGCTACGATTAATCTTATCGAGAAATATTAATTATAAAAAGGTTGATCTAACAAATGTGATCCTGACGGCGTTATTCTCTTACTTTTTCGCCATTGGCTGAATTATGTAATTTCTGAAAAAAAAGTTCCGCTTGTCTACGCTTATTTGCGTATAATGACTAAAATTGAACATTGCGTACCTATTTTCGAATCTCTATTATACATATATGACAAGAAAAAGAAAATCCTAGCTCCTCAGTGCAATTCGAATTCAACGAACCAAATTGCAGGCGGGAACTTTGGAAGTCACAACGCGAATCCTATTCCGAATGCAGTTATGAGAAAGTTTCTCCTGGATTTTATCGCGTGAAACGTGATCACAAAAAGAGGAATAAAGGAGAAGGATAAAGAACTAGAATCGTGCCTATGCACGATGGTAACTGTCGTGCATTTTCGAATCGTATCCCGTGAAAACTCGTGCGTGCAGCCGCGCAGCATGGCATGTCGGAAGCGAGACGGCATGGGCGCGCCGGTGCACCGGTACGGGTAACCAACCTGCGACGTTAACGTTATGGTAACGTGAATCGATCGCCTGATTTTCGTTCTCCCTCCACACCATCTGTCAGGGCAAGAACTCACAACCGTGCGTGCACGTCACGAGTATAAGTACATCGGTGATTTCGCCGCTCACAAGCGTGTTCGATACGATGAGAGTATGATCCCTAATGAGGGTGGATACGAGATTCTATTTTTGCCAATTTTTTGTACAATGTACAAACTTTTTTACAAACTGAAATTATGAAACTGCACATTTTTTCCGAAAGTCTTTTTCCGCTTTCAAAAGCTATTCTCGATGCTACGAAGGGCACACGAAGACATTGACTGTATTACAAAATGCATGCATTATTATTATGTATGCAAAATCGTTCACTGAAGATGTCCATATTGTTTTACAGAATTTTTGCTCGGCAGTTATGTACTGTCGATTATGGCAGAAAGTGCCATAATTAGAGAATGCATTCTTCGATCGAGAATCGAGACAAAATTGTGATAAATGCCAATTCTTGCTTCGTACGATGATTGTGTCTAACTCGTCGATCGGAATTGAAACTCAAATTGCTATTTGAGTTTGATGCGAAATTTTATTGCAGACAGAGCAAAGAAGAAAAATTACGTTACGTACAAAAAAACATACAAAAGTGATAAAAATGTAAGAGATAATATGTGTAAAGCGTCCTTAAAGATGTTAGATATAATATAGCAATACATGAATTGCAAAGACAGATAAAGATAAATGTATTCTTTTTATAACAAAATCCTTATGTGCTTTTATAAAGAGATAGAGGCTTTCATTTTTCTCTTGGCGCACATTGAAAATTAAATTGCTATGCCATTATTTGCCTTGAAAAACGAACGGTTATTCACATTTTAACCGCTTCTCAGTAAATCTGATTCTCACTTGGAGGAAGCATAGCTGACATTATTTTCGCATGTATGAAACATGTAAAGAGGTAAATCCGAAGGTTGAAACCATAAACACCTCTACTTTCTAGTGGTTTATCTCGCGACGGAGAGCCTGGAATCTCGTGTCGAACCGCAGTATTCGATGCGTTGCACGTGCGCGCGATATAAAGCGCGGTATAAGAAGTAAATGGACACGTTTGTGTATAAACTAAATTGCTAAAATATAGACTGTGTATAGATTATACAAATATCATAAACAGGAATAAAAATGATTATATCGTGCATCTATTTACGTTACGACAGTGAAATTGAAAGGATTGCTTAGGACATTGACTGATGATAGCGATAAGGGATGTAGAATTAATAAAGTGCCACAGGTACATTAGAAGATGGAGTCTCATGCGCTTTTATATTTGAATGAGAAGATTGGCGAAGATGTCGAGGAAATAAGACTGAATAATCATTGATGACAATGTCTAGACCCGGAAAAGATCCTGTGCAAAAGTGTCACTCAGATCCGGGTGCAACTGGCTCTTCGTGTAGTCCTAACAAGCGAATTTCACGGAGACAAGTGCCATGCATTCCGTCCTCGCCAAATACGCGCAAATGTGTTTTGACCTTGGATGGATACAATTACGTGATTGGTGAGTAGAGACGCGATAATATCTCGAATATATGATAAACGATGGTAGAGAGCGCGTCTATAGATAAGTATCAAGATGTTATAAATATAATGTATAATAATTGGACGTAAGAGAGACATTATATATAACGTTTATTGTATAATGCTTATTATTATGATATACGCAATAGACTACATAATCTCATACAAATATCTAATATCTAATATAAATATGAATGGAAGAATAGTAGGAGCAGCGGTATGGGAGTTAGAATAGTATTTCTTATTTGATTTTTTCATAACTAATAAAATAAAAAATGAAATAACATTTAAAAAATTACATAAATTTCATTTCTTTCAAATCTCGTTTAAGATTTTAAGATTTTATATTGAATTATATTGTTACATTAATTGTGACAATGAATGAACACTGACGTCGAATTTTTTTTATTTAGTGTTTGACTCGAAATATGATTATGACGTTGTAATCATAGTAACAAATTTACACACACACATACACACGCGTACGCACACATGCACGCACGCACGCACGCACGCACGCAGGCACGCAGGCACACGCAATCTCTAAAGTGCTAATTATTCTTCAAGATAATAAAACAATGTATCGCGAATTTTAAAACTGTAAATTTTTTACTATAAAATTAAATCTTTATAAGAATAAAATAAAATAGCGTTCTCTTTATATTCTACGTATAATTCTACGTATAATTCTTAGCAAAAAAAAAAAATAAAAAATCGTATGTAGTATGATTCGAGATATAATTGAACACAAGACATTAATCGAAACGTTGATTAATGATCTGATAGTTTTGTTTGATTAGAAATAAGTCTCAACGATTGACTAAACATTTTTTAGATAAAAAAATAACATTAACTTGATGCGGTGCAAATACTTCTTTGCTCTCTTACATTACTTATTGTTAGACAATGTAAATACATAAAGAACTTGTACATGTTAGAAATTTTATATTTTAAATAATATGCTAGTTTAACCAATTAGAATACATGTAGAAATAAAATGTATTGAAAAATTATCTATGGCTGCGTTCAGCAGAAAAAGCAGTTTTGCAACTGTTGTAAAATTCTTCAATATTGGTTCTTGCTTTTAGTTCCTTAAATCTAAACGTATAAATTAATTATATTGAAAAATTTGCAAAGTTGCTTTCTCTGCTAAATGCAGTCTTTGTTTCTAAAGTCATAAAAATTAGGCATAAATTTTTGCTTTAATTAATCTATTGTCTGATAAATAATATATTCCGTATAATGCATGATTATTAACATGATATATTATCTTTTGATAAAATTCAAATCCAGCTAATGTATGTTAACGAACTAGAAAGTTCGCGCGTAGATTTAAAGAAAGATTATAATTTAACATTTTTATAATTGACAGAGATTTAATAAAAACTTATGCGTTCAAAAATCAACACAATTTAATTAAAGGCTCTTTAGTTATATTGAAACTATAATATTTTGAATGAAAAATTACTACTGAAACTATAATATTTATGAAACTATAATATTTTTCTTAATAAAAACTTAGTTTTAAAAGGGTTAAAATAAAGAAAGTCTAGCTGAACTAATACACATCAGTTTATCATGTATGGGTGCTTTTGCGAAAGTTTTATACTTTTGCGATTACTATGAAAACACTATCTCAGATTTCTCAGATCCAATTATAGGTTTCTTATGTGTTGAAACTGAAGTATTGATAAGTTTGGGATACCGAAATATTCTTTATAAAATCAATATTTTAATGGATTTCACTTGCAATTATATATATATATATATATATGCGCTTATATATATATATATTAGGTGTTGGAATTAATTCGTAGCGTTTTACTTTCATTAATGTATTTTTTAATGCTCATGTGAAATAAATAACATTCTTTCATTAAAAACGCTACGAATTAATTCCAACACCTAATATATATATAAATATAAAATATATATAATTATTTCTGCGTAATTATCCATTTTGACATTGTTAGAGAGTGCGTTCGACGAACGTAATTAATTAATGCAACCAACAATGTGATTTAGAATTAATCCGACGTTTCTCCGCGATTTGGTAGTCGGAATATGAATTGATCGTAATTATATAATCTCACTATTAATGATTAACCAGTTTGCTAGTCGTAATATATGTATTTTGATCGTGGCATCTCGTTGCATCTCATTGTGCATATCGCGTATCGCGTATCCCGTATCGCATATCGCGTGTATAATGTCCGAAAGCGTAATCAGATGCCCAACCAAAAAATTGCACGCGAATATACGAAAGCAGTTATTAAGAATTATGCAAATCTGCGCCGGACCACCGCATGTCGCCGTGTGAAGTGTTTTGCACTTATCTTGCATGCAGTAATGTGACAGAGAACAAGAATGAAACGTGTTTGCGTCCTTTCTCGATAAACCTTATTTTTCTCTCGGGATACAAGAGAGAAAGAGAAAATTAATATGGGTCGCGTATATAACTGCCGCTACCACGACTCGACATAATTCGAAAACTACTATCATTAAAGCGAATTCAAAAGAGGTCGTCCGCAAAAAACGGGTCGTTCACGGTTAATGAAAGCTGTATGCCTCATTTTAAAGAGACTTTCATTTTTTGTGATCCACTTATTTCTTCTTTTTTTCTATGCGCTTTTGCTCGTTAGATTTTTTCAACATGATATGCAACAGATTTATTTGTTACTATATACATATTATTTGTTACTACATATAACGAGTACATGCACGTTATATGTGTGAAAAATATCTGTTGTATTTCTTTGTAATTCCACGGAACATCTCGGATGCAAACAAATTCGCTGGAAAATCTTTTAATCCGCAAAGTCTTCGATTACAAAGTTCGAAGTCAGAGATGAGAACTATTTAATGAGATTAACGTCTTTTCTCGGTTGATCGTTCTTCTTATACTCAGCTTCGCATTTCTATTGGTTTATTGCAAAGAAATTAATGCCATAATCGTCATTTATGATGCAATTATTTGTGTGATTAAATTTCTTTAAGCGTTTATTCGTTTTCTTTAATGTGTCGAGAGATGTAATAGACATTGTCACGATGTCACTAATTTTTGCGAATTTAATTTATCCTATGACATTTGGCGCAAGAGAAAGTTGACGTTTTATTTCCATTCTCGATTTCTGTCATACATAAATTCTTTTATTGTCTATCAATTTTCTCTAGTATGAGTCATTGTAATATAAATAACAGATGAATTAGCATTAAACTAATTCATCATGAATATAATGTGTTTACCTGGTATGTTGTAAAAGCTTAAAAATTAATTTGCTAATTCAAAATTTGTAATTGTTTATATTTTTAAAATTCTCTCTCTGTCTCTCTCTCTTTATATATATATATATATATATATATATATATATATATATGCGCGCACGTGCGTGTATACTTATCTATAGAGTTAAATGATCAAATTTTAAATCTGAATTTAGGAAATTTCAAAATAAATAAAATTTTTTTCTGGAAATATACTTGTAAACGCTTCGTTCAAGAGATATTGACTTCTGAAATTATACAGAACTGTAGGAATAAATAATGTTGAAATAAGATCTATCCTCTTTATTACTTTACAATAATCAAAATTTAATTATTAAATGTTTTATTCAAAATGATGATCTCCAGCCCGGAGACAAGCATTGTATCTATCGATGAGAGAACGAATGGCTGACTGACATTGTGCGCCTGTAATTTTTTCGCATGTACAATTTTTTGTTTTAATGATTGAAGGTCATTAACAGGCACTGCATACATTTTTTGCTTTAGAATATCCTATACACAAAAAATCTAATGGTATTAAATCCGGTGAACGCGAAAGTCAAGCCACATGTCCAGCACGATCAATCCATATTCTGGGAAAATGAATATTAAGCCACTGTCGAGGACTTCTGCCATAGTGAACAGGACATTGAAATCTAGTTGAAACCAGAAGTTCACTCTCATATTCAAAGGAATATTTTCCAAAAGGTTATAAAATTCATTGTTCAAAAATGCGAGAAATTCATTCGCATTCAAGCAAGCTGGTAGAAAATTATCTGGGGTTCAATTATCGCCTATTATTCCTGACCATACATTTTTATTTTGAACAAAATATTTAATAATTAAATTTTGATTATTGTAAAGTGATAAAGAAGATTATTATATCAATTAAGAGACATTATTTCGACAGTATTTATTCCTACAATTCTGTAACTTCAAAAATCAATATCTCTTGAATGAAGCGTTTATGAGCATACTTCCAGAGAAAAATTTTGTTTGTTTTGAGGTCCGAAATTCATATTTAAATTTGGTCATTTAACCAGAAACATCCTGTAAGCGTTATAAATAGATAAATAGATAAATAAAGTATATAGATACTCATTCTTTTATTGAGTCATACAGAATGACATTAATTGCTCGCTGTTTAAATATCTTAATTGTCTTCCAATATTTACATATATCCGTTAACATCCATTCATTCAATCGATTGTACATAAATGTCGCATTTTAGATGGTCAGTTATAATAATTGCTTTTCTCTCGTATTACTCTTGCATGATTTATGTCTACGAAATATAATGAATAATTATTTATTCTTACTTAAAAAAATATAATATCATGAAATCTACCATTTTTTTGTAAATAATATATATATAATTTTTTTTACAATTTGTTCATAATTAATAAAAAATATACGTTATATTTTGTATGTGTATATGTCAATTTTATTCTCAAACTAAGATATTAACATATTTGAAAGAAATATTTTTTCTGAGAGAGAGAGAGAGAGAGAGAGAGAGAGAGAGAGAGAGAGAGAGAGAGAGAGAGAGAGAGAGAGAGAGAGAGAGAGAGAGAGAGCGAGGGGGAGAGAAAGAGAGAGGAGAGAAATGGAATACTTAAAACTTAATCGGTAATTATTTCTAATATTAAAAAATTATTTGACATAAAAAAAGAGCAAATTATTGTACTTTTTTTGTACCAATTTTCTCTAACGAGT